GATGCATTTTGGGTGCATCTAGTGTAAAGACTATCCTTTAAGTCATACATACCAAAACGAAAATATTCTAATTAATATTTGCACAAAGTGATGGGGACTCCTTCAGTCTCAAGCACAATTGTGCTCTCATGGTGGACAACGAGGCGATTTACGAGATATGCCGTCGAAATCTGACCATTGATCGACCGTCACACACGAACTTGAATCGTCTGATTGACCAAGTTGTGAGCTTGATAACAGCTTCACTTCGATTCAGTGGCGCATTGAATGTGGATTTGAACGAGTTCCAGACATTAAGTCTCGAGAAATATGACAACTGGATAGAACGTGGATCAAGCTAAGAAATGTTTCGATAAAATAAATCGACTTTAAACACAAGCTGCAATGTCTTGTAAATGGTGTCTTACCAAGGTAAGGAAACAAATCAAAATGACCAGACCTATCCCACGTTCCAAAACTACCGAAATTCCGCCATGAAGAGTGACCTCATAGTAGACTATTAAAAGTATATGGACATTTTGGTATTGATCCACTAAATGAGAAGCAATTTGAAGTCATATTGGGTTATCTTCCAACATAAAGGTTTTTAATTTCGGCCTTCTAGACTCGTGCTTACGTTACACATACAAAAATTCAGATCTTAACAGATTTCTCATCCAACAATCGAGACTCCTAATATTTAGATTATGGTGTAAGTGTTGAGGTTAGACTTAAGATAGTCTTCGATATCACCACACTTACTAACAACTTCACCGTCTTATGACTTTACGAGTACTCTACCTAACGTGTAAGTACTGATTAACTCAATCAAAGTTTAAAAGCTAACAATGGAAAGAATTCTTAGTATGAGTTGTATTTAACGTAACTACATAACAGATTTAATAAATAAAGTGACTATACAACTTATCTGCAGACGTTACTGGAGGTAGGCTCGGAGAGTGTGCAGAAAGAGAGCACAACAAGAGAGCGAACCAATGAACGTACGGAAGACTCACAACTCAAAAAGGTAAAACGTGGATCACCGTGGGTGAGTCAGTTTAAACAAAAGTTCAAAGGTACAATGTGCACTACAGGTTATCCCCCCCCTAGAAGGTTGGTGGGAAACCAGCAAGCTTCGATATACAAAAGTAGGATGGCTTGGCACAATAGCAATGAGTGAATGCGAAGGTTTGAAAATAGGAATAGTAAGGAAAAGAAATTTTGTCGAAAGGAAAGAAAGCAAAAGAAAAGGCAAAAAAATTAAAGTAAGTTGGAAGTGGTATGTACATGATTAGTGCAGTAAGACGGAATATGATAAGAAATGACACTGGTGCCTTGTGTGGTTGTAAGCTTCTGCGGTCTGGTGTTGTTTTTTTTGTCTTTCATATTTTTATTAATCCTTTTTTTGGTATTTTTTTATTGTATTGGCATTTATCGATTCATTTTGTTTTAATTCCGCATTATTACAAGCTTACTTATGTGGAGGTTTGATGGTAAACCTCTGGCGCCGAGGCTGCCGTAGCAAGAAGGTGACTCATTATGTCTAACTTTCATATTAGACCAATGCTCCCTTCCTCCGCTTCAACAGAACCTAGCAGTCATGTTAAAGGCAATCATTATACCAGCGTATGATAAGGAGCAGGGTAAAAAAAACAACAGAAGAAAATGGGAAAGAAGGTTAAGATTTCAAAATCGGTGTAAAGGTACTACAAAAGCTTGTGCGAAATCAATGCGAGGAAAAGTGGTGCAACTTGGAAGTAGTACGTTAGAATGAGATAAAACAAAGGAAGTTTCTACCCTGTGAGAACTTATAAAATTACAGAGAAGTTAGTACATAACCAATAGCTATGAGTAGTTATCATTACCAAAATTACTTTGTTCATGTTGCTAAGTGCATAACAAAGATGATGCATAATGTTTATAAGTACGGTTCACAAAATAAATGAATTTCAGGAGGGCATAAACCCGAAGGAATATAGTACAGGCTGTGAAAATAAATTGAGCGGATTACTATGTACAGCATAGAAGTGAAGCATTTATGCGCAAAAAAATATGTGTATCTGTCCATTTAACTATACAGTGGAAGTTTTTTTGTTTCTTTTTTTTAAATAATCTTTTTTTTATTTAAAAAATTTTTGTTTATTTATTATTATTTTACATTTTTTTACTTTTTTGTATTTCCTTTTTTTTAATATTTTCTTTTTATTTTATAAAAATTTTTTTGAATAATAATTAATTTTTTTTTTTTTTGGAAGAAAATGGGCAGTGAAAGGTAATATACTGTTCATAATTCCTCTTTTGGTGTGGGTTACAAGATGACATGAGAAGCCAACTGATCTAGCGAGTAGATTGAGATGAAATAGATGAAAAATTAGGGGTAAAAACAAACTGCTGCTGGTCCTCTGTAACGAGAGATAAAGATTAAAAGGATTAGTGAGGGTTAAAACGACTACTCCCAGAAGCGGGACCAAATAGATTAAATATAGCAGAAATGAATTAGAAATTTTGACAAGGAATAAAAAATCACTAGTAGCATTACCTATGGATTAGTTCAGTGAAAGAATTCTACGAACCTCTTGGGCCAGTGAACACGTCGACCAGCACGTGTGACAGGGGTCTTACTGGTGACGGTAGGAGAATCATCATTCACCACCGGAGGTGAGGTAGTTGAGTCTGGACAAGGACTAGGTTCAGTGGGGCTATTTGATTGAGCCGATGGGGAGGGTGAAGGTTCTTCAGTGTATGCCGCTTTAGGTCTGTCTATGCTGACGGTGTCTGGGCGGCCGCATCGGTCAATAACGAAAAATTTATCTTCACGACTAAGGACCTTAAAAGGCCCGTCATACGGTGGTTGTAATGGCTTTCGTATGGCGTCGTGACGCACGAAAACGTGTGTACAGTCATCAAGTCGCCGATCAACCTGAACCTTTCGGTTCTGAGTGCGTGTGGAAACTGGTCGGAGTCGCTGCATAAAACTTTTAAGTTGCTGAGCGTAACGGGTGGTATCGGGGAAATTTGGCTCGAAAGTTTCGGGAGCGATTAGCTCGCCTGGTAAACGCATGGTGGTACCGTACACCAATTCAGCTGGCGAGCACTGCAGATCCCCCTTAAGCGTAGCCCGGATGCTAAGCAGGACCAGTGGTAGCGAATCTGTCCACTTACTGTTGTCCACTGCCATCAACACAGCTTTGAGTTGACGGTGGAAACGTTCTACTAGGCCATTTGCCGCGGGATGATACGCGGTTGTGCGAATGCGTTTGCATCCCAGCATCTCTAACAATTCTTTGAAGCTTGCGGATTCGAATTGTTGTCCGCGGTCGGTAGTGACAGTTGCGGGACATCCAAAATGGGCAACCCAGCCTTCCATGAAGGCACGATAGACGGTTTGAGCCGTTACATCTGGTATCGGAATGGCTTCCGGCCAACGTGTGAAACGATCCACACATGTGAGTAAATACGAGCAGCCGTTAGACGGGGGCAGAGGCCCTACTATATCCAGGTGGATATGATGGAACCGAGCGTCTGGGGTCGCAAACGTCCCCAACGGCGTGATGTTATGCTTGGTGACTTTAGCACGTTGGCATTGCACACAAGCACGTGTCCATTGACGCACATCACGGTTCATACCGGGCCACGCAAATCTCGCAGAAATCAACTTGTCCGTTGCTCGTATGCCAGGATGGGAGAGGTTGTGGAGTGACTCAAACACAGTTCGGCGTAAAGACGTGAGAACAATCGGTCGAGGAGTACCAGTTGACATATCGCAAAGTATAGTTGCCTGACTGTTTAGCAAGGGGACGCGTTCTATCTTCAGTGAGGTTTTATTTGACAGGTGTTCTAAGTTCAAATTGTTCAGTTGGAGTTCGGCCATTTTATAAAGATCGATGGTTGGTGGTACGGACGTAGCACATACGCGAGACACAGCGTCTGCTACCGCGTTATCCGATCCAGAAACGTGCTGGATATCAGAAGTGAACTGGGAAATATAGTCTAGATGGCGTGATTCTCGCGGTGAATACCGGTCTGAAGTAGTGTGGAGGGCGTACGTCAATGGCTTATGGTCGGTAAATACCGTAAATTGCCGGCCTTCCACGAAGTGACGAAAATGCTTGACAGCAGCATAGACAGCGAGAAGTTCCCTGCCGAATGTGCTGTATCGAGATTTGCATGGGGTAAGTTTACGTGAAAAGAAAGCAATCGGTAGCCATACATTAGCCATACGCTGTTGTAGGACGGCTCCGATCGCAGTATTAGAGGCATCTACGGAAATGCTGATTGGAAGTTGAACATCTAGATGGACCAACATTGTGGCGTCAGCAATAGCTTTCTTGATAGCTGCAAAAGCTGTCGGGGCTTCCTTAGTGAACACCAAAGACTTGCATTTCCCTTTAAGCATATCAGTCAAGGGGGTCACGATATGAGCACACTGTGGGATAAAGCGACGGTAGTAACTAACCATCCCGAGAAAAGTGCGTAGTGCCTTGGGAGAAGTGGGTAGAGGGAAGTTTTGAATAGCTTCTACCCGGTCAGGTAACGGATAAATTCCATCTTTGTCTATCCTATGTCCCAAAAAATTCAAGGAAGTGACTCCAATCTGACACTTCGGCAAGTTGAGTGTGAGGGAGTGTGTCACAAGTCTTCGGAAAACTGTCTGCAAATGAAGTTGATGAGTGGCTTCGTCTGGACTAGCTACCAAGATATTGTCCAGATAGGCAAAGGCGAAATCAAGCCCGCGCAAAACGTCATGTATAAAACGCTGGAAGTTTTGGGCAGCGTTCCGTAAGCCAAAAGGCATTCGAAGAAACTCGAACAGGCCAAACGGTGTAATCACAGAAGTCTTAGGTATATCCTCAGGGTCGACGGGAATCTGGTAGTAAGCCCGTGTAAGGTCCAGTTTGCTGAATACTCGAGCTCCCTTGAGTGAGGCGGTTAAATCGTGTATGTGAGGGACAGGGTAGCGATCGGGAACAGTTTGTGCGTTTAGTCTGCGGTAGTCGCCACAAGGACGCCAATCTAAACCGTTATTCTTAGGTACCAGGTGCAACGGTGAGGACCACAGGCTGCTGGATGGCCTAATAATCCCCATTTCTAGCATATGCTCAAACTCCGCTTTGACAACCTTTAGTTTTTCTGGGGATAGTCGCCTCGGCTTTGCGAAAACTGGCGGGCCAGTAGTGACAATATGGTGTTTGACGTTGGAAGTCGCACATGGCAGGCCGCTGCTAGGTTTGAACAAATCTGAAAAAGACTGCAGTATATGCGAATAAGGACCAGTGCTAGTGGGTGTGGCATATACAGGGCTGAGGGCTGGGCCTTGTGTGACGATACCGCTGACGGAGAGGTTTGTGACAGGATCTCTTAACTTATGATTACCTGTATCTACCAGTAATTGGTAGTGCCGCAATAGATCCATGCCAATTATACCTGTGGTAACGTCTGCCACCAGGAAGACCCAACGAAGTGAACGACGCAAACCGATGTTAAGATCTATAAAGCGCCTGCCGAACGTAGCAATTGGCGAACCGTTTGCGGCTCGTAGTTGAAGAGACATTGGCCGCCTGCGCTCCTCTACTGTGGGTGGGATTACACTGACCTCCGCTCCGGTATCAATTAGGAAGCGTATCCCAGTGTTACGGTCGGTAACATAGAAGAGGCGACATGAGAGCGGTTCGCCAGCGACGTTAGTCGCCAGTACGTGCTGGCTTGCTAGTTTCCCGATTGTTGAACATCGAAGGTGCACGGGCGAGTGCACTTTTGGGCTTTTGCTCCGTAACGTCGATGATACCAGCACACTCCAGGCTGGTTACTTCGGGACTGTCGGGGCTTGCTGCTAGCACGTGGCAAGGGTCTACTACTACGCGAACTCGAAGGACTGCGTCCACGACTCCTGGAGTTCATCTCCTGTCATATACTACAGATCTCCTCGTATAGCTTGGCAATATGGGCCACCGCGTCAAAGCTTGATGACCCCCCATCAGCCATCTTGCACACAAGACAAAATATTAACAAGGTGATAAAAAAAACAAATGTAAGCACAAACAAAACAAATCTTTATAACCGTGCGTGAAAGAAAAAAAATAACAAAATAGACGGTACGTAAAAAGAATTGTTAACACGTTAAGCTACTATGGCAGAAAACGGTGAAAACGGGCTCACCACTTGTAAGTGTTGAGGTTAGACTTAAGATAGTCTTCGATATCACCACACTTACTAACAACTTCACCGTCTTATGACTTTACGAGTACTCTACCTAACGTGTAAGTACTGATTAACTCAATCAAAGTTTAAAAGCTAACAATGGAAAGAATTCTTAGTATGAGTTGTATTTAACGTAAATAAATAACAGATTTAATAAATAAAGTGACTATACAACTTAGCTGCAGACGTTACTGGAGGTAGGCTCGGAGAGTGTGCAGAAAGAGAGCACAACAAGAGAGCGAACCAATGAACGTACGGAAGACTCACAACCCAAAAAGGTAAAACGTGGATAACCGTGGGTGAGTCAGTTTAAACAAAAGTTCAAAGGTACAATGTGCACTACAATGGTAATCCCGAAGCTGCTTTCAAACCTCTAATTCCGGAAGTTCTAGTGATCCTGATTAACTTCATCGACAAGTGTTTCCTTGACTGTCTGAGACCATAGCAAAAACATTGCCGTCTCTGTACGTGCATGTCACTGTGTCAGTCTGTTTCAAAGGTACTGAAATGATGTCACGACCAGTACTATATTCATTGCCGTGCTTACAGATTTCTTCGAGGATTGCCATCCCTTTAGTCTAAGTAGTCCAGCTGCCGCATGGAATTATCCGTGGTGCTGTTATTCATTGTGTTGTGAGCAGTAAACATCCAGCCGAGAAACAACACTGATTAATGATAAATCATTTATCTGACACACAACATGCTCAGCCAACGCTCAAAGCCTGGGAGATGTCATCTTCGTGAACTTTAGAAAGGCATCTGAAAAAGTTACTGGTAAAAGGCACCTAGTAAGGCTAGAGAGTCCTGGTATTAACAGAATGCAGAGAAGCTGGATAACGGACGTTTTCAGGGGTGGAAGACAGAATTTAGGTAAACAGCTAGTTAAGAACAGAACTTCGAGGGACATTTTTAGTACATTCTGCAACAATAATGGTTTGTGCTAGCTCAAAATAGTACCACGAAGCAAATAATATAAAAACGAAAGTTCGAGGAAGGCTTTGCTACGAACCTAGAGCGTATTCTGCATTCCACCTGCAACACGGGTAGTGAATGATATGATGAATACCCAGTGCCGAACTCCCTTGGTGGATTGGCAAAGTCTGTGAGATGTTATCTGTTAGATGTCCATTTTTACCCGATTATTATATCAGCTGAGAGTTCGTTCATCCTTCTAAAATTCGCTTAACTCCTAACCAAGCGCCTGTGTAGTAATCTATTGAAGTCGTGGTATTAGTATTTCAAGATGACCGAATTACAAGAATCCAAACAAAACACAGAGAGGGCAGAACTCAGGAATTTGTATTTAGCGGAATTATTCTGCAATTCATATAAGAAACATATCAACAGTCAACAGTAAGTATTTAAACAATACAGAGAGAGAAATTGTCAATCACCACAGCCTGCCGCTATTATTTGCCTTTGGTTGGTCATTTTTTATTCTTCACTTTGCATTTTTGTGATCGTGGACTGTTGATAATAATAAGGTATTGTCATACAGTTGCTATTTCTTTAATAGAATTCATGGCTACCCCAATCAGTGTCTACTTGACTTTCAGTTGTCTCCAGGAGGCGTGTCTAATTCCGTTCAATTCTTGCAGCTAGAGTTTTGGTCTCGTGTAGTTAGGAATATTCCATATGCTCCTAAGGTATTTTAATGTTGTTTTTGCCAGTTAATTGTTTTTGTTGTACAGTTTATATTTGTATTTGATGAAAGATCGGACTGCATAGCTCCCAGGGCACAATGTTGGTCTAGTTTGGTAATGTTTGACGAGCTGTACGGTAAAACGCCTAGATTAGTTTCCTGCATTCACACCGAAATGTTGAGTTTTGATCAATACAATGTTTTGTAGTGAAGTCTCTTGCTTAAGACCAAATGACTTCCCTATTCCCAAGAAATCAAAGAGGAAGCATCGTAGTGGTCGGCAAAGAGCTCTCAAACGCATACTAATACATTTAACTGTGGTCCCTGTCATAGTGAACACGAACTGCCGCTCTCTGCCTAACAAGATAATGTACCTGCAATGTCTGGTGTCCACTGACACTTATCATAATGCTTCCATAATCAAATTACGAGAAATTTGGTAACGTGTACTTTATGATAACAACCTTATCTCACTAAAGGAATTAGTATTATTTGCACAAGACTGTCACTGTTGCAATAAGAAAAATGGTAGTAGCGTTGCAACTTTTGTTCACTGCAAATGGTCTATTTCAAATAATGTTTGTTTCTCATTCTAAAATGACTCCATAGACTGTATTACTGTCATATATCCTCCCAAAGCCTCCCCAAATGTGAACAAATCTTTGTTATATTGCTCCCCATTGCTCACTATCAGATCTAACAAATTTTTCTGCCAGCTTCGACAACTCTCTATCTCGCGTAGCTAGAGCAGAATATCTCAAAAAGCTCCCATGTTCACTAACTCTCTATCTGTTACTACTGGTGACTTCAAATCCTCGGACTGCCCTTTCCTGGAAGCACTTGATCATACAAACAGTCAAATTTCCTACTTTCCTTTCCTTGACAAAACACTCGATTTAGTTCTCACAAACGACGAAGGCATATATGAAACACGTAAACGTGCACCGATAGTTAACTTTGATCACTGTTTTACCAAAAATACACAGTGTCAATCACGTCTCATAAACCGTTAATGCCCAGCTCTTGCTACGCTGGGCCTCACGCTCTCCCTCGAAGCCATTCAGAAACGCCTAGTACTAACGGACGCAAAAACCAGAGCACAGATTGGCGACTCGAGAATTCTTTATTCTAACACCAACATATGCCCAGCATTGTTAGGATTACAGACTAAGGTCTACGAACAAATATTACAACAATAAGTCACGATATTACTTCTGACAGTTTTTTCTAGCTTCTTTCTAAACAGCGACCGAAGAGACGATGACTGGCAGATTGATCACCCGCGAAAATTACGTGGAAGTTGGGTTTCAGCAAACAACCATGAATTAATCGTTCAATCTTCAACTACATTTACACACAGCAAAACGCATTTTAAAGTCTACTCACAGCGATATATGAAAACACAACAAAGATGCTACACATCTGAAAACTTACTCAGTCTTAGGTGTATGTTAAAATCCTAAGTGGGATTTATTCAATCAAAGTACATTAGATGGCACGATCGCCAATATAACGGACTATCTTAAGTTCTGCCTTGATATGTGCTGTCCTAAACAAATACTATTCAAAAGCTTCGACTACTTTTCGTCTACTCGTCTAAAACAGCTATGCAGGCAAAAGGAAACGCTGTATAAATCCTAAGATAAGCTAGGACTCAAAAAGATTAACGCTCTAATCAAATCTGAAGTCAAAAATCTCAGTGCTGAGTATTATTATTATTATATCCTTTAGTTCCTAGAGGAACATAGAGCTTCAGCTGCGCGTCTCCATTGCCTTCTGTTTTCTGCCAACTTTTTCACCACGCTCCAGGTCTGTCCACATGCTTTCATCTCCTCCTCGCATGACCTCCTCCAAGTCACCCTTGGACGACCAACTCGCTGCCTCCCTTCCGGGTTCCACTCGCGCAATGGCTTGTCTAGTGATGTCACTTGCTGGTTTCCTCAGAGTATGGCCAATCCATCTCCATTTCTTCCTGCATATTTGTTTCACAATCGGTTCCTGCTGTGTTGATTCGCTCCCAGAGATCCCTGTTGCTGATCTTTTCTGATCGGCCATCTGATCTTAAGTATTGAGCGAAGACAGCTGTTAATGAAGGTCTGAAGTTTGTTGGAGATGCTCTTTATGACGCGCTGGCCAAGTCTCTGATCGGTATGGTGAGTAGCACTGACTTTACATTGGAGTTGAAAATCCGGATCTTATTTTTGATGCTGAGTGCTGCGTATAATCATACACTTCTGTCATGCAAATCCCCTATCTACACGTGGAAACTTTTCAATGAAATTACTGGCAATAGTAGGCGATACAATGTTTTTCCCTCTTATGATGTTAATGCTCTTAATCAGTCTTTTATAAGCTGTCCTTCTACTATAATGAATTCTAGTGTTACAAATCATGCAGTTGATAAATTTCATGACTTTAATGCTCTTGATGTTCTAAAACATCTTAAAACGCTTAAGCGCTCACGTAGGCTTGGCCCTGATGATATACCTGCATATGTTCTAATATAATGTGCAGATGCTTTATGTTCTCCACTAACATCCTAAATGCTTCTTTCTCTAAAAAGGTTGTAACTGTTCCATGGAAAGACATTAAAATAGTCCCTGTCCCTAAAACTGGAAATAGCAAGAACGTAAAGTTCAGACCCAAAGTCATTCCTTCCCCGTTTCTAAATCTTACGGAAAAACTAGTACTTCTTAAACTTGAACCTTCCCTTAAAACCTTTGAAGACCCCAAACAATTTGCATACAGACAGGGTAGGAGCACTTTAGACGCTGCAGCTGTTCTACGCATCACTATCGTCTCATCATTAGATAAAGGTGCCAGATAAGTTCGCTGCACGTTTCTCGACTTCACTTTGACTCTGTACCTAGGTGTCTCTTGCTAAATAAGCTCTCGATGACACAAACTGAGTCCTGGGTCACAAACTGGTTGCATTCCTACTTCTCAAACAGAATGCAGTACACTGTATACAAAGGTAAATCCTCCTCTGCTGTGCTCACTGAAACTGGTGTCCCCCAAGTTGCTGTACTTCTCCGACTTCTCTTTTCTTTCTTTCTTCATGACTTACCATCTTTAAATGACATTAATTTTGTCAAATATGCTGACGACCTGGCTTTATCTTTGCCTGTCAAGTGTCAAAGTGACTGCTCCAAACTAAATGGCTTTTTATCAGAAGTCATTCAATGGTCCAAGGAAAACGGTCTTACCTTAAATTCCTCCAAATGCCAAACAGTCAATTTCCCCTTTAGGTATAAATCTGACCTAACCAAACTGATTAGCACTCACGAGGTGTGCAACATGGATGGCACTGAAATAGAGACCAAGTCGGAAATGAAATTTCTTGGCGTCATTCTATCTGCTGATCTTTCCTGGTCGTCTCATATCTTGATAATTTCTGAGAAAATATTCCCTCTTACCTTCTACATCAATAAGTTAAGACATTCTGGTATAACCCAAAGATTACTCCTACAATTCGTTAACTCTTACATTCTGCCTATTATTCTCTATTGTACCCCCCTAGTTTTTCCTGGGCCTCTGAAGATGGACTATATCTTATTACGTAGGGTGTTTAAGCATTTTAGCAGGGTAAGCAACGTGCCACTCAGCCAACTGGTCAATATTTTGGTCGACAGGCACATGAACTCATCTGAAAAATGAACTAAATCCATTCTATCTAACTCACAACACCCTCTTCATTCACAGTGGCGAGGAAATACATATATCCTCAGCTGCTGTTGTAAACACTCAGTGGGGGTAGGAGCCAACAAAGTAATCCATTCAAAGCATATGTATACTTCACATGGACACGGAGACTCTCTGCGAACTACGTCATATTCCAAATCACTGTCTATACGGCGCCAATAAACCCGGATATCTATGATATAAAGAAAACACGCTGAAAGCTGCATCTCAGATCAAGTTGATTCATTCGATGGTAATAATCTGCTCCTGCATGCCTTATTCGACATATTGAATGGAATGGTCCGCGGTTATTCTGGTACCAGATCGAAAAGAATAAAAAATTCACCGGTTGATGAATCAAAAGTACTTCTCTGCATGTTTAACTGTATTCTAACTGCTGTGATTAATTCCAAACCATTTATCTAATAATCACTCAAATTCCAGGAACGATCCAATTCTACCATTTGAAGACGCTGGCGAACATGCTGCAAATGAGTATTTATGATCTGAAATAAAGAAGAAATTTCCTTTCAAAAGGTTTTACAACATTTTACTCAACTTACGTATACTGTCCGCCATGCAGACACAAATGGAGAGTTCTGGAATCGACGCCGGCACCATTTGATGCAGTAAAACAACCCAACATGACCTTATCTAGTTTTTGCATCCACGATCAAATTTCTTTCCTGTTATAAAAGTACGATAAGACTGCTGAAAAATGGAATAAATATATCACTGATTTCAACATAACACATCAATAATCTTTAAGCCAAGGGTGCTGTTCACGACAAAGTTATATGGGAGAATTGACTTCAAGCTTTATTTTTCCCGGATATCTGTATTGCATTCATGTGATGTCTGGGTTTTTTGTTAATGCGAAGACAATATTTCTATATCTCTTTATGTGCTACACAAACAGACTTTATAGCAAACTGTTCCGACTGACTCTAATGTCAGAAAGAACAACCAAACTGTAAATCCATTATACATCAAATTATGTGTAATTTATATGATAACTTATCCATGCCTGTACAGTAGGTATGTTCCTGCACAAACAGGGACAAATATATTATTATTAAAACAATATTTATACATGCCTATACAATTGGTGTATCCTACATAGCTAGGAAAAAAATGTACCTCATTATATTATCTTTACTAAATATGCTTATTAATCTTATGTGTATTATTATTATTATTGTATCCTTTAATTCCTAGAGGAACATAGGGCTTCAGCTGCGCACCTCCATTGACTTCGGTTTCCTGACAACTTTTTCACCCTGCTCCACGTCTGTCCACATGCTTTCATCTCCTCCTCGCATGACCTCCTCCAAGTCACCCTTGGACGACCAACTCGCTGCCTCCCTTCCGGGTTCCACTCGCGCAATGGCTTGTCTAGTGATGTCACTTGCTGGTTTCCTCAGAGTATGGCCAATCCATCTCCATTTCTTCCTGCATATTTGTTTCACGATCGGTTCCTGCTGTGTTGATTCGCTCCCAGAGATCCCTGTTGCTGATCTTTTCTGATCGGCCATCTGATCTTAAGTATTGAGCGAAGACAGCTGTTAATGAAGGTTTGAAGTTTGTTTGAGATGCTCTTTATGACTCGCCAAGTCTCTGATCGGTATGGTGAGTAGCACTGACTTTACATTGGAGTTGAAAATCCGGATCTTATTTTTGATGCTGAGTGCTGTTGACCTCCACACAGATTTGAGAGTAATGGAAGCTTGTCTTGCTTTTCCGATTCTGGCTTTGATGTCCTCGTCAGTTCCGCCTGTAGTTGAGACGATGCTTCCCAGGTAGGTGAAGGAGGTTGTTTCTTTCAGGTTCTTCCCATTTATGCTTATTGTGGTCTGTTGGTGTTGTTGATGTTGGCTAGGAATCTTCATTATCTCTGTTTTATCTATGTTCACGTGAAGTCCTATCTTTGATGCTTCTTCTGCCAACTTGTTACTTTTCACTTGCATATCTTCCAGTTTATGGGAAATCAGACATATATCATCGGCGAAATCCAGATCCTCCAAGTCTTTTGTGTCAGTCCATTTTATGCCTGTTCCCTCGTTGGTTGCCGTTGTCTGTCGCATTATCCAATCAATTGCAATCAGGAAGATCATTGGTGATAGTAGACAGCCTTGCCTCACTCCCGTCCTCACTTCGAAGGCTTCCGTAAGTTTCCCGTTGTGGATTACTTGGCATGCAGCATTGTCGTATAACTGTTGGATGAGGTGTATAATTGTCGATGGGACCCCGTAGTAGCGAAGTAGTTTCCAAATGACCTCTCGATCGACGCTGTCGAAGGCCTTTTCAAAGTCGATGAAGTTGAGATAGAGAGGTGACTGCCATTCCAAGCTTTGTTCAATGATGATCCGTAGAGTGGCGATTTGATCAATACATGATTTGTTTCTCCTGAATCCAGCCTGTTCCGGACGAAGTTTTTCATCTAGGGCTTGTTTGATTCTCTCCAGGATGATTCGACTTAGTATCTTGCTTGGAATGGACAGAAGCATAATTCCACGCCAGCTTTTACATTGACTTCAGTCTCCTTTCTTTGGTAGTTTGAATAAGTATCCGTTCTTCCAATCCTCGGGTACTTTGCCCTCTTTCCACACCTTCTCCAGCAGTGGTGTCATCAAGTCCGCTGTTGTCTCTGGGTCTATTTTCAAAGCCTCTGCTGGGATTCCATCTGGTCCCGGTGTTTTCCCAGTTTTAAGCATCTTGATTGCATTCAGGACTTCTGATTTCGTCGGGGGGTCAGTGTTCACTGGTAGTTCTGCTTCCATTGTTGGTATTGCTGGACATGTTGTAGGTGGCGGACGATTTAGAAGTCTTTTGAAGTGTTCAACCCAGTGCTTTCTCTGTTCCACCTCTTTGGTGATTGACTTTCCATTGTCGTCCTTTATTGGCTTAATCTGTGTCGAACGTTTGCCCGAAAGGTTCCTAGTTGTTTGGTAGAGTGTGGCGAGGTCTCCTTTGCCTGCAGCTTGTTCTGCTTCGTTTGCCATGGTTTCATAATATTTTCTTTTGTCTTCCCTGGCACTCTTCTTCACTCTTTTGTTCAGTGTATTGTAGCTTGCATTCAGCTCCTGTTTTTGTTGCTCGTCAGTGCACTGGATAATCTTTTGCTTCACTGTCCTTCTCTCTTCTATTAGTTTCCAAGTGTCCGTAGTGAGCCACTGTTTGTCCTGTCTCTTTTTTCTGCCTAGAATTTCTATGCAGGTTTGGCTCCACACCGTTTTCAAGTTGTTCCAGTGCTTTTCGACGCTGACCTTTTCGCTGGTGTTGATTTGTATCTCAGCTTTGTCCTTTATGCTTGCAATGAAGATGTCCTTTGTAGCCTGGTCCTTCAGCTTTTGAGTGTTGAACTTGGCTTGTGGTCTATCTGCAGCTCCTGATTGCCTGAAAGCTTTTAATTTGATTTGGATTGTCCCTTGTACGAGATAGTGGTCTGAGCCAACATCTGCTCCTCTTCTTGCTTTTGTGTCCAGTAGACTGCGCCTCCACTTCCTTGAGATTGAGATGAAGTCGATTTGGTTTTTGGTTTGCCCGTCTGGTGACACCCATGTAGCCTTGTGGATATCTTTGTGCTTGTATACACTGCCACCAATCACCAGTTCGTTGAAGGCGCAGAAGTCGGCGAAGAGTTCTCCGTTTTCATTCATTTCTCCTAGAGCTTCTCTACCCATGGTGAGTTCCCTTCCCGTATTGTCTGGTCCCAGTTTGGCGTTCATGTCTCCCATTAGTATTTTCATGTCACCAGCTGGAGTATTGTCCATTGTTGACTGTAGAATTCTTCTTTCTTCTCGAGGTCTGCGTTGTTTGTGGGTGCATAACATTGTATGATTGACACTTTCCTTCCTTTGGAGTTGAACCTGGCGGTCATTATCCTGGACGAAATCGCCTCCCATTGTATCAGGGCTTTCGTTTCCGTTGGTGACATCATGATAGCCACGCCCTCGGTGTGCGTGTGGTTATCTTCTGGGTGACCGGAGTAGATCACTGACTCACCTGTTGACAATTTGGTGAGTCCACTCCCATTCCATCTGCTCTCACATATTCCCAGCACTTGTATTCCGTATCTTTTCATCTCGTTGGCGATCTGGGCAGCTTTCCCAGTCTCGTACATAGTTCGGACGTTCCATGTTCCTACACAGACTTTTTCTTTTGGTGCAAGGAGGTCATCATACTGAAGTTTCTTTAGCAATTTTTGTTTACAGGGTGGGGTTGCTAGCCTCACGCCTGAGAAAAGAATGATTACATTAAGTAAAAGTTTAGAGAGCAGCAACTTTTTGGGTTGCTCCCCTCAAAATCAGAAAATAACGGACAAACAATGAGAACAACATCAACAAAGGAAACAGTTAACAGAAAAAAGGGCAAAAAGCGACGACAACTATACAATAAGACAACATGCAATATAGTTCAGTATTGTTAACTAAAATGATATCTTAACCATAAACTCACTGACTTGGAGCAACTTGAACATATAAATCCAACAATATATACAATTATAGATGTGTTTATGTTTAAAAATTCCACAAATCCAAACAGTGGGTTATGTGTATTATCTGTCAATAAGATTGTATTTTTTGGATTCAGTGTTCGAAAGGTTAATAATTGTGATAATTTCCGCAAACTCTTTGCATAAATTTTTACAGTAATAAAAGTTTTTATAAATGAGCAAAATGTAGCGTAATAGTCGAAAAGCGCGCGCAAGCAAGATCAATAGAATTCAATCTTATGTGTAAATTATCGAATTGATGATACCTGTAAACTGGCGTCCCTCATGTAAACAATGAGAATATATATTATTAACTCTCCTCTTGTATCTCATCAGGCAAGACCAGAAGCCTATATAGGAAACTATATGCTCGCACTAGCAAGTATAAAAACTTAACCATACCCTACTTATGGATGATGAAGTTAATCAGGATCACTAGAACTTCCGGAATTAGAGGTTTGAAAGCAGCTTCGGGATTACCATTGTAGTGCACATTGTACCTTTGAACTTTTGTTTAAACTGACTCACCCACGGTGATCCACGTTTTACCTTTTTGAGTTGTGAGTCTTCCGTACGTTCATTGGTTCGCTCTCTTGTTGTGCTCTCTTTCTGCACACTCTCCGAGCCTACCTCCAGTAACGTCTGCAGATAAGTTGTATAGTCACTTTATTTATTAAATCTGTTATTTAGTTACGTTAAATACAACTCATACTAAGAATTCTTTCCATTGTTAGCTTTTAAACTTTGATTGAGTTAATCAGTACTTACACGTTAGGTAGAGTACTCGTAAAGTCATAAGACGGTGAAGTTGTTAGTAAGTGTGGTGATATCGAAGACTATCTTAAGTCTAACCTCAACACTTACAAGTGGTGAGCCCGTTTTCACCGTTTTCTGCCATAGTAGCTTAACGTGTTAACAATTCTTTTTACGTACCGTCTATTTTGTTATTTTTTTTTCTTTCACGCACGGTTATAAAGATTTGTTTTGTTTGTGCTTACATTTGTTTTTTTATCACCTTGTTAATATTTTGTCTTGTGTGCAAGATGGCTGATGGGGGGTCATCAAGCTTTGACGCGGTGGCCCATATTGCCAAGCTATACGAGGAGATCTGTAGTATACGACAGGAGATGAACTCCAGGAGTCGTGGACGCAGTCCCTCGAGTTCGCGTAGTAGTAGACCCTTGCCACGTGCTAGCAGCAAGCCCCGACAGTCCCGAAGTAACCAGCCTGGAGTGTGCTGGTATCATCGACGTTACGGAGCAAAAGCCCAAAAGTGCACTCGCCCGTGCACCTTCGATGTTCAACAATCGGGAAACTAGCGAGCCAGCACGTACTGGCGACTAACGTCGCTGGCGAACCGCTCTCATGTCGCCTCTTCTATGTTACCGACCGTAACACTGGGATACGCTTCCTAATTGATACCGGAGCGGAGGTCAGTGTAATCCCACCCACAGTAGAGGAGCGCAGGCGGCCAATGTCTCTTCAACTACGAGCCGCAAACGGTTCGCCAATTGCTACGTTCGGCAGGCGCTTTATAGATCTTAACATCGGTTTGCGTCGTTCACTTCGTTGGGTCTTCCTGGTGGCAGACGTTACCACAGGTATAATTGGCATGGATCTATTGCAGCACTACCAATTACTGGTAGATACAGGTAATCATAAGTTAAGAGATCCTGTCACAAACCTCTCCGTCAGCGGTATCGTCACACAAGGCCCAGCCCTCAGCCCTGTATATGCCACACCCACTAGCACTGGTCCTTATTCGCATATACTGCAGTCTTTTTCAGATTTGTTCAAACCTAGCAGCGGCCTGCCATGTGCGACTTCCAACGTCAAACACCATATTGTCACTACTGGCCCGCCAGTTTTCGCAAAGCCGAGGCGACTATCCCCAGAAAAACTAAAGGTTGTCAAAGCGGAGTTTGAGCATATGCTATAAATGGGGATTATTAGGCCATCCAGCAGCCCGTGGTCCTCACCGTTGCACCTGGTACCTAAGAATAACGGTTTAGATTGGCGTCCTTGTGGCGGCTACCGCAGACTAAACGCACAAACTGTTCCCGATCGCTACCCTGTCCCTCACATACACGATTTAACCGCCTCACTCAAGGGAGCTCGAGTATTCAGCAAACTGGACCTTACACGGGCTTACTACCAGATTCCCGTCGACCC